GCCACATCACAGTAAGCCACAGTTCACAAAACTCTTAGACCAAAGCTGTAGGGAGCTCAGCACAGTATGCGATATATATTCCTTTACATCTTTCAGTAATATAGTGTCTCTGTATGTGTGTATGCATATTTATATTCATTTTTTGTCCAATGTACACAAAGAACTGGGGAATATCAGCACAGCTTAAAATATTAATTGATTTAATTTACATTAGGCTATTGGAAGGAGTGTATGCTTAAATCTTGGCTCGCCAACATGGAATATATGATGGAACATATTTCAGAGAGATACAATAGCACGTGCTTATACTTTTACTGACTCTTAATTAATTTCAAGTAGCTTGTCTTTTAAGATACAAATCCTTCTTAAGCAGCATCATTAATGATAAATACAAGTATATATTATTTTTAAAATAATGAAATACTTTTGGAATTCCCCCCCCCCAGCATTTTCTGCTCATGTCAAGCGAGAGTTGAGGAAGACAAATTTGCAATAAATTTCTGGGATGATCTTTATTTCCTTTCCTCCTTTCTTCCCTACTATATTCTGAATGCAGGGAAAGTCTACTGATGCCTCAAAATAAAAGTCTCAATATTTTCATTAATAACTTTTGAACACCCTACCAGTTAGCTTCTGGGTGCAATTCAAGGTGCTAGTTGTTTCAGCACATGGCACCTTTCAACAAGCGTAATATAAGTATACACTATCTAGATTTATCCCTCTAAATATAGGATAAGGGCAGCTTCCTCCAATCCATATTTCAGAAAATGAACTGAACTACAGATAGTCCTTGACTTAAGACCACAACTGAGCCCAACATTTCTGTTGCTAAGCGAGACATTTCTTAAGTAAAGTTGCCCCATTTGACGACCTTTCTTTCCACAGTGGTTAAGTGAATTCTTGCCATAGTTGCTATGCTGGTAACACGGTTGTTAAGTGAATCTGGCTTCCCCCATTGACTTTGCTTGTCAGAAGGTCACAAAAGGGAATCACTTGACCCCAGAACACTGCAACTGTCATAAATACAAGTCAGTTGCCTTGCATCTGAATTTTGATCACATGACCATGCTGCAACAGTCGTAAGTGTGTGGTCATAAGTCACTTTTTTCATGCCGTTGTAACTTTGAATGATCACTCAATGAACTGTTGTAAGTTGAAAAGTACCTATACTGGTGATCCAGCATTTTAGGTACACACATCTTGCGGGTCATCAACATTTCTGCTATTTAAATTAATACAGAGTTGCTAACTGTAATTAGCCTAGGGATGTTAAAAACATCTTCAGCTAACCACATTATGGGCACAAGGAGGAACCATGCATTGTGATACTTCACAGTGTGTAATGGGCATAATTTGCATTGTGATGCCATGGCACACTTTTTCACCATTCTGACAAAGTCTTGGCTTGCTGCAGATATGTCTGAACCACATGCAAGTCATAATATTTCAAAATCATCTAACAGCGAATCAAAGAATTGTCCTTACCCTCATTAGCCAAATGCATACTAGCATGTAACTTTTCATTATGTAATGGTCAAAACACTTCATGTATTTTCAACCTAACCATTCGCACAGTATGCTAAATAATATTTCATTGATTTGGGAAGAAAACATTCACTGCCAAAATTTAAAAAAATCCTGTGTCTTGTCTCTTGAAAGTCCATATTCCTATAATACACTTTGATTTAATAGCCAAGGTGCTTAACAGCTTATTAAATTGAAATATTATTTCTTCAATTCTCATATTGAATTTTCTCTTCAGCTAAGTGGCTGATTATTGAAAAATGTGTGCACCTTATATATCTCAAACTAAATTGCTTTTGTAAAAAGGACAATTTGAAAATTTTATTGGGAAAATATGAAATATTTTCAAAATCAACATCAAGACTTGAATTTCTCCTGCTGTGAAATAAAATGTTCCATGTGTCAGCAATAGCTTTTCTTGTTTATTAAAAAATCAAATTCATTAACATAAGAAACATTTGCTCATAGATTCTGATATATCACTAAATACTCATGTGTGAAAAGAAAAGAAAACACATTCGTTTGAACATTGGACTTTATTTTTGAGCTCTACAAAGGAAACTGCAAAATAAACAGCAGATTACCAGATGGTCTGATGTAACAACAATAATAAAAATTTCTAAGCTCAAAGTTATTAGGATATGATTATCTGCTACAATGCCTTAACTCTGAAGTTACTGCTTTAATAAAGACAGTACTGTTTATAATTACAGTGTACAAACTAGAAAATGATGGGCATGAAACGCATACACCCAAAGCTTTAATTTTCTGCATTTAAAGATGCATTACACCATTCCTCATCTGAAAATATAGCTTACAAATATCATAAATGAAATAATCCCTTCTTGCAGAATTACATATTTAAAAGCATAGAATGAAACAGGATTAGAACGAAAAGAGTCAATTCAGAGCCAAGTGGTTTACAGTGCCACAATCAGCAGATCAAAGTGGTGGATCTGCCCATAAAAAAGCTGTTATATTCTGTTACTCATGTGGCCTTGGGCACAGTGAGTAGCTGGAGAGAGGAAGGGTCCAGCTTTTAGAACTATATATTTCTGTTTGCCAAACTGGACATGGTATAACTGCATCAATTCTATATTGAAAATCTAGGACTAGTTACAAGCTTTTTCACAGCCTTCATTTGAGAGGCTGATTTTAAGTTTTAAAATGCTTTTAAATCAATTATCTGCAGGATAAAGCATCTTTGTTATTATGGGTAATAATTTCTCAGGATAATATCTCAGTTATCAAAGCTACAAAGGGACTGCCCTCCAGAGTTTGGAAGCAACACAAATAGTTGTGTGTTTTTTGAAGACTCTTCCACTTATTTGTGTAGCTGCCATTAGTCTCTGCATTCTTTGTTCTTACAAAGGATATCAAAACCATAATTTTATCTTAAGTATAACTTAATCATTTTAATTTTTTTAGTTTTTTTAAATTTATTGCTAATGAACATATCACTACTTGAAATTTTCATTATGCTATTGATTTCTGGTGGTTGCCCTTTAACTCGTGTAAATTATGGTGATTTTCACAAAAGTGAAATTTTCTGAATAAATAGAAGAAAATTGTAATTTCATACACTGACAGAATGGCAAATTAGAGATCAATGAACAATGGACTACCTGTGAAGAGTGATTCCAAACAGTATTAATGAGGACTTTCATCCACTTGAGAAACCAAGACAACTTCAGAGCATTATCAAAAGAGAAAACTCCCTGGAAGCCTCACCCCAAACCAAATATATAATTTGTTGTAACAAGCATATGTTGAATCCTGCAAATCACAGTCATTGATAGCTTTATTTTCACCAGTTGAGGAAGTAAATAAAACCTTGAGTTTTAAACTTGTTGAATGAAAATGGAACGAGTCACTGAAGCTGCACTGCCTATGATTTCTGTCTTTGAAGCCCATAGAATTAAGATCAGCGGTGAGATTCAAATACCTGAACAACTGGTTCTCTGTATGGATGCCACTTCCGGAAGTCCATTCTGGAAGTGACGTCCACGCAGTTCTGGTGGGCTGTTAGGGGCCTGGAAGGTCTCCCCTGGCTCAGAACAGACTTCTGGAAGTGGTGTCCATGCACTTCTGGCGGTCCATTCTGGGCCTTGCGAAAAAGGGCTAGGGCATCAGCAGCCGATTCGCTGAAGCCAACAAAAAATTAGCTACCGGTTCTACCAAACCGGTGTGAACCGGTTGAATTTCACCACTGACTAAGATGATTTTTTAAGATGGTCTCAAGATATCACCTTGAATCATTCCAAAATACAGCTCATTAAAGACTGCCGCTGCAGTCAAATCTGCCAAAATATATAGAATGTACCAAAAATCAGTCTTCATAAGCCAACAGATGATGTTGGAGACCTTCATGTTAGAATTCACATTAGAAGGAATGTTACTGTGTCATGAGTTAAAGGAGTAAGGAAGTATTTAGAACAAAATGGCAGCCAATTTGAACATTTAATATAATGTATTTAATAAATCATTTATAGGGGATTACAGGACTAGTCCCAGTTCCAAGATGTTACAAATAAATAGATGTGAAATTGATCACCGTTTGCAGTGCTTAAAAACAAGTGACTTACTAAAGGGAGCATTAGGCAAGTTCCTCTGCATGCTAACCATGACCTATTCAATAACTATAGTGTGGGTAGAAGTAGGATCCTCCTTTAATTTCCTAAGTATTAAGGTGGATGAGTATTTGTTTTTGTAATTTCATCACTGGTACTGAACAACATGTTCAAATCCTTAAATTTGCTTTGGTTAAGTAAGTTAACTTACTTAACATAAAATTACATACTGTAAATAACAAATTAGTGGATAGAATTAATTAGTGTCTTCTTTGTACAGAACAGCCCATTTGTAGATATGATCCATAGCTTATTGGTTTGGGCAAGGAGAAGGTAGATGGCAGTGACCAGTGTGGCAGGAGTAGCATCCTCTTTTTGTCTCCTATTAAGATGGATGATGGCCTGATTTAATACACTTTAGGTTTTACTGTTTATAAAACATGGGAATTTCAGGGATTCTTTGAACAATGTTTGTGGTTTCCTGTTCTCAGAATGGTAGGAAAAGCCCACTGCAGATTTTTAGGACTTGCACTGCCAGCCTGTGGTGGTATGTTTGGAAGTGGTTCCAGAGATTGCCAAAAAAAAGGGGGGGGGGGTTGGGACTGCAATTGCCTAATCCTGCTCAAAACCATGTCTGTACAAGCAACCCCTACAATAGTCAAGTTCATAGACAAACAGATCACAATGCTGGGATGGGAGTGGGGGAGAGATAAAGTACAAAACTTGCTGTTGGCCATGTTCATTATATCTTTGTTTAAACATTGACTCATGGTTAAAAGAGACAGAAGGCACCGTGTGAAGTAGCACTAGGAATGAGACTTTGCAGAGAATGAAATGTGTACTTGCTATTGTTTCCATGCCCCAATTCATCCTCTCTCTGTTTTGTACTTTTTATCCTCTTTGCAGACCTTGTGATGAGCAGCATCCAAAAGTCAAAGCCGACCTTTATGTGAACAATCTGGCAGAAGCTGTTGATATAATTCTCAAATGTTTGCATAAATAAAAATGCTGCAGGAGTCCACTTAAGGCAGATGTTAATGTAAGATCTTTAGCATAACTGCACATTTCTAGTAATGTTCAAATCTTCATCCATTGTTTATGGACTAATTGTGAAGCAATGTACAGCACCACAAACATGCGTTCAACAGTCTAATTTAATTTGCTATTTTATCCAGCTAAAGTGATAGATTAACCACAATGAAAAACAAAAAAAAAGTTTAATTCCCCCCTGTTACTCTGCTCTAGGAATCATTTGAATCTTGTCTGTCTGTTTTGGGAGTATTGTAACACATCACCAAATAAATCTGTGTGCCATGTACCACTCAAGATAGGAACTGCTTCTTCTCTTGGCTATTTTTTATTATTGTCTTATTTCTTGCAAAAAAAAAAAAAAAGACCCTACAGAAAGCAATCACTGTAGAGCCTAAAGAGTTTTGGGCAGAATTGCCTCAGAAGACACAAGTAAGATCACGCCTTTGGATAATTTTTCATTTTATTGTCTCCACCCATTCAGTAGGAAGAAAGAAAGGATCATGCTAGGAATAAAGACAGATGTTTATACAACAATCGGAGTGTTGATCAGCTGGCCCAAATGTTTCCTCCTCCTCCTCCTCCTTCCTCTGGGGTGGGATGGATCTTCCAAGTTTGCAGTAGAAGCTGGTTTTCCAATGTTCTGAGGGTGGCATCCTGTAACATCAACACAAAGCTTTGCCCACTCCCAGTCCCTGAAGCAATTTTGCTTTCTTTTAATCTGTTTTAACAAGAAGATGAATGAATTACATAAACACAACACAGAACATGTAGATGGTTTTAAGATGCATCCAGCCTTTCTGAAGTATTAAAGGAGGAGCAGCAGAAAATTCCAAGCCAATATTTGAAACACTGGTAGGCATGCATCAGTTACTTTAGTTTCAAAGCTGGATTGAAATAGCCACATACAATAGATGCTATCTTCATACTACATTTATATATTACATTTCTCCTTTGAAACTTGAAAGAAGTTTTAAAGTAATCCTCGACTTATAAACATTCAGTGACCGTTCAAGTTACAACAGCACTGAAAAAAGTTGACTTAACGACCATTTTTTCACACAACCATTGCAGCATCCCCGTGGTCATGTGATCAAAATTCAGGCACTTGGCAACTGGTTCATATTCATGACGGTTATAGGTTTCCCAGGGTCATGTGATCCCCTTTTGTGACCTTGTGACGAACAAAGTCAATGGGGAAAAACCAGATTTGTTGAAACAACCACGCTCTAACTTAACAACTGTAGTGATTCACTTAAGAATTGTGGCAGAAAAGTCGTAAAATGGGGCAAAACTCGCTTAACAAATTTCGCGCTTAGCAACAGAAATTTTGGGCTCAGTTGTGGTTGTTAAGTCGAGGATTACCTGTATTTCTCAGATAAGTGAATGGGTTGTTTCAGAAGTAGTCTGGACTGTCCCTGGGAAGTTTCAAAAAAATACTTGACCTACAGTTACTGTGACCTCCTGGTAAAACCCAAATTAAATAAGAGCTCAGCAGTTTGACATTTTGTGCCTATGGCACTCTGTGAATGTGAAGAGTTCTATGACTTCCATCCTGAGAAATATGTACCTCTCTGTTCATTTTCATATCTTGCAGGTTAAGATCAGCTCCCATGGCTGAGCTGTTTTTGTCTAATCACATCATTTTACTCGTGATTTTTTTTCTTTAAATAGGCTTACTTACAGAGAACACCTTCTGATGGTCAGCTGCCAAGCTGAAAGAACTGATGTTGAGTTTCTTGTGTTTCAAGCCATTGGCATTGCACAAAATCAGCTTGAAATACATAATAAAATAGTTTGAGAATTGTTGGATTGAATTCAAAGAATGTTCATTGTATTCTCTCTCTCTCTCTATCTTCTTGGCACTGAGCAATTTAAGACTGAAAATAAAAATGACTTGGAGTATTCATACGGACACATTACATACTTTGCACAGCACACAGGTGCTTTTTCAGGGAAAATATTCAGATGTAGATTAGGATTGGAACACCTATCTTTCCCAATTAGCTTAATTCTGGGATAGCAATTCTGATACATGACGTTGCAGTGGGCTTAAATTATGAATGTTTAACTGGGGATTTTTAATGTATGCCACCCACAGCACAAATATAAATTTGTGCATAAGCAAACAAACAAATTAATTAATTAATATCTCAAGAAAAGAAACACTGTATGTAGAAAGTTGCACTATATGACTGGCGTCATGCTTATTGGAAGTTTTTGAAAATGGCCAGATATTATTTAATGGGGTTTAAATCTTTTATCAGTAATTGAAGTCACAGACTGCATTTGTAATCACACTCACCCTTTAGATGTCTATGTATAGTGTGTTACCTATAGAAACTAACCAATTTGTACAGGTAGTCCTCGTCTCATGACCACAACTAAGCCCAAATTTATGTTGCTGAGAAATCTGTTAAGTGAGTTTTGCCCCATTTCATGACTTTCCTTGCCATGTTTGCTAAGTGAATCACTTCAGTTGTTCAATTAGTTACCTGGTTGTTAAGTGAATCTGGCTTGCCCATTGATTGTGCTTGTCAGAAGGTCATAAAAGATGATCACATGACCCTGGGACACTGCAGTCATCATACACATGAACCACTTGTCAAGCGTCCAAGTGTCATAAGTGTGAAAAATGGTCATAAGTCACTTTTTTAGTGTTGTAACTTTGAATGGTCACTAAATGAATTATTTTAAGTTGTGGACTACCTGTATGTGAGAATACAGCAGTTGCATCCTAAGAGAGATGTAATTTTTTTCAGTTTTCAGACATACAGGATATTTTCCCTGACATGTGAGAAAAATAATTTCTTGTCTCAGGATCAGGCACCAAAGACATATCCAGCTACTTAAAGCCAACTCTCCTTCAGATTAGGTCCTTAATTAAAATTAAAAAAAACCCTCTTAACACCCTCTAATTACATGAGTTGTTCTGTCAAATTTAATTATAACCTAGGTTGCGAATCATACTCAATATACAATTGACTTCTCATCAAACTGGCATTCAAGATCCTAGACTTCATTATGACATGCTTTTTGCACTGACAGTCTTTCTTTGCTGTGTATGGATTGACATTTCCATTTATAATATTCCATAAAGGGAGGAATTAACACATTAATGAATGTTAATTATTACTTGGAATTGCAGTTAGTGGCTTCCAGATTTTTCATCAAAACTATCTTTACAAATCTAGAAATAATAGGATTGGCTTCCAATTGTTGGGAGGGGAAGAAGAGAGGGGCAGAGTGGAGAAAATTGCTTTTGTACAGTTTTTTTTTTTAAACTTAAGAAAACGTGTAAGTCTGATGATGCCTGGCTGTCTGGGGAATTCTGGGAGTTGAAGTCCACAGGTTTTGAAGTTGCTGTTCGACAACCCTGCCCTAAACAAATACCTTTGCAAAATTGTTCAGCTCGGGTTATCAATACCAAGCTGATGCAACCAGGTCCCTTTCCTGCATAAATATATACTTGATTGGACCTGTTATTACAGAAACATTTTTGATTTGGTGCCACACCATAACAGTATTTAGAAGGTTTTCCTAGAATTTAAAATTATACTGAGTCATAAAAGTTGGAAAAAAGTGGACATGATCAGCATTGGTGATATGCTTCATTTATAGATATGATTAGATATTGGCCAAGTTGGAAGAGAAAGCATTAGCTATACATATGTTACTACAAATTATATAAAACACTTCCGCACAGGAATTAGTATAACATTTAGCTGTGACTAAGCTGAATCTTAGCTTCAACAGATCCGATGACTACCACCCATCTATTCATATATGTTTGTGTGCTATTGTAAGGACATTTCTTGATTTGGAACATTATATTGTATGAAGCACATGTGTACACTGATAGCTGCTGCCAAAACAATTTGGAAATACTTAATATTCCTTTTAGTGCACAATATTAACAGATGCTAATGGAAAAAAAAGAATCTGATTACTTTAGTCATTATCAAGTCCTTTTTTGGCAGCTGGTTTACTCAGTGTGAGAGGTCACTCTTAACATCTGCATACTATATATATATATATATATATGTGTGTGTGTGTGTGTGTGTGTGTGTGTGTGTGTGTGTGTGTGTTCCTTAAACAACTCATAGGCTTTTTGATGATTCAAGACTTCTTAAATATGTTCTTTTATCTTTTATTTTGCCAAAAATATTTTTATTCTTCCTTTTTTCCCCTCCAAAACACGCCTTTTCCATGGAATAACATTAGCTCTGTGGGAGAAAAATATTTATTTTTACAACAAATTTTTAAAGGCATGTGTGTGTTGTTGGGTGGCAACAGATTTCCTGACTCAAACTCAGCTGGAAGACTTGAGCTGGGGAATCAATTGAATAAAACTCCGCATAATGTTAGGATCAAAGCACACCACCATTTTGTGCTGGCATTGCTGACACACACACAACTGGCTTGGAAAATATTGTTGCTGGAGATACTAGAGGCTCTTATGCTGCAATACACCAAATGAAATAATGGATCCTGTGGAAGGATGGAAATCCTCTGATCCTACAACTTTCTTCCAGAGCCTATCCTGTCAGATTCCTGAGGAATCAGGCTTAGGAATACCTTCTGTTTCTTTTCTCTTGATAAAGGGACCACCACGGTTAAATGAACTGACAAACCAATAAGCAACATTGGGTTTTAGAAAGGCGGCCTTCTGAAAAGCTTGATGGACAAGTTATAAATTAATTGAAAGCCCATAGTGAATTCAGAGGTTACCACTACTTGTATTGCATTTGAACTGGGCTTTATGAACACCCAAGGCTTACATTTCTGAGCCCAGAAATATAATTCCCATGTCATTATTAATTCTCATTGGTCCTTGGCTCAAATTTCACTCTTGTTACTATATGGCTGAAATCATTCAAGTTTTGTTCCAGGACTAGAAAAACAAATTTAGTTTCTGTAAAACTTGAATAGATTGTTAGAGGAAGGGAGACAAGGATGCAAACAAAAGGAAATGTTTCTTCAGCTGCTTATGCTACAGAGCATGAAATCTATGGCTGTTTAATGCAAATAAATAAATAAATAAATAAATAAATAAGCCATTTAGATGACCACTTAAGAGCAAGGAAATTACTTTTAGATAATTTCATGCCTAACGATGTACCATTTCATTTTGCTAAATCAGGGGTTTTCAAATGTTGTAATGTGTGCCCACTAAAACATTAATTTGCCCCTCCCTCATATTGATAGGTAGCACAGTGAGCTTGGTGCCATGGTCTCTTCCCAAATCAGGCGGCTGCTTGCCTTCCAATTTTCATATAAACTGAGAGGCTTTTTGATCAGCTAATTATACATACAGCTATATTCAACTGTGTTAAAAAATATTGCAGATTCATCTACATCGGGGTGTCAAACTCGCAACATCACGTGATGTATCGCGACGTATCGTGACTTTTTTGCCATTGCCGGCAATGGAGTGGGTGCGGTTTCGGCATGATCCATCTGGTCTGCGGGCTGGCAGTTTGGCACCCCTGGTCTACAGGTAGTCCTCAGCTTACAACAGTTCATTTTGTGACCATTCAGTTATAATCACAATGAAAAAAGTGATTTATGACTATTTTTCATACCTATGACCATTGCAGCATCCTCATAGTCACATGATCAAATTCAGAGGCTTGGCAACTGGCATGTATTTATGACGGTTGCAGTGTCCTGGGGTCACCTTTTTCAACCTTCTGACAAGCAACATCAATTGAGGAGCTAGATTTCACTTAACAACCATTTTACTGACTTAACAACTGCAGTGATTCACTTAAAAACTGTGGCCAGAAAGATCATAAAGTGGGCCAAAATTCACTTAAAACTGTCTCACTTAGAAATGTTGGGCTCAATTGTGGTCATAAGTCAAGGAGCACCCGTGCTTTCCAACTTGCTGGCAACTGCTGTGTAAATCTTTACATTTTCTGTAATTTATTTAAGTTACTCTTCTCTAGCCTTGTGTCCTCCAGATGAGTTGGATTCAAAATGCAGATGCAGCAGATCATACGATGCTCCCATAATCTAAAGTTACTCTGAGATACAACTGTCATTCACTCTGATGCTGGTAGTATCGTGCTAGTAGAAGAAAAATCAGCTGCAGTGGTAACTAGGAAACGTGCATCTGAGCCAAGACAATTACATGTACTTCATTTAGAATAGGCATAAAAACTTGAGAAAGTTTTCTTCCAAAAATGTGGACCTTCCACATAAATAAAAGCATATTTTATTCTAGTTGGAAATTAGGGACACTTCAAAAGACACAATCACCCAATTATTGTTTGGTCTCAAGATCCATTTGTTCCATCTTTTACTCATTATGTTTCAAGGCAAGGTAGCTCCTTGTTAATTGAATCATTACTTACTGCATTGTCCCATGGTGACTCAACTCCAGTGGAGAACAAGAAGACAATTGGATTGATCTAGCTTGCCTACGAGAACCTTTACTAATAATAGAAAGAATGAGGGAAAAATAGGAGAAAAAAAATATCTAGCCCCCTTCCACTTCTTCTGATTGATTATGCCTGGGATTCAGTGTTGACTTCTGGTGACTGCTTGGACAAATCCCTGCAATTTTTTTGGCAAGATTTCAGAATTGATTTGTCATTGCCTGTTTCCTAGGGCTGGGAGAAGGATTGGCCAGCTGGCTTTGTACTAAGGTAGGACAAGAATTGGACTAGTACTTGAACTACTAGATGTACTTCTCAACTTAAGACAATTGGGACAGGAACTTTGGTCGCTAAGTGATGTGGTTGTTAAGTGATTTTATGACCTTTTTGCTGCAATTATGAAGGGAATCATGCGGTCATTAAGCTTCCTCCATAGACTTTGCTTGTTGGACGCCGCCTGGGATCACATGACCTTGGATGTTGCAACTGCCATGCTAATTGCCAAGCACTCAAATTATGATCATGTGTTCACGGGGACACTGCAATAGTTGTAAGTGTGAGAACCAGTCATAAGTCACTTTTTTATTGCTGTCATAACTTTAAACTGTTGTTTGGTCTATCTCAGGGATAGGCAATCTTGGCTCTTTTATGACTCCCAGAATTCCTGAGCCAGTCCATGAGTCATTAAAGAGCCAAAGTTTCCTATCCCTGGTCTATCTGAACAATCTGTACACTGAACTGGCTTTCTTCCTTACTCATTATAATGCTACTAAAATTGTTTGCTTTATTGTAATTCTGATATTATACTAATATTCTATCAACATGATGCTTCTTTTGGCAGTTCTCAACATTTTTATGCAGACTAATATTAAGTTTAAAGAGAATGTGCTTTATCTCATTGTATAATTTTATGGAGTGCTTTAAGCTAATACGACCAATTTTAAAAATATGCTAAAGAAGGGATATATCCAAAAAATATCGTCCTACTAAATAGAGAGGTGCAATGAAAGCATTCCCACCATTTCAGCAGCTGAATACATTTAACAATAGAATAACACAAGAAAAAAATAGTGCTGACTAGCAGTTACAGAATCAGAAAGCTTTATTTACATAGAGTAACAAGTAAATTCCTGAGACTGTGCTGCTCTATAGTGCAATAAAGTCATTTGAGAGAGTACAAATCAGCAGTTTTCTTAATTTTTCATGTCAGGGAACAGTCTTCACCAACATTAGATTTTGAACAAACACCAACTACAGAGCTGACTTGGTATATATGTCAATATGTTTGCATCTGTGCAATTACCATGAACAAAAAGACACATACATACACGTGTACGTGTGTACACACACACACACACACACACACACCCTTGGAACTAAACATTGCTAAACTTCATGGATTTTCAAAGGCTTTTGGGCCATCATGTTCTGATTCATTGGTTCTCAGACACTGAAAATATAAAACGCTGAAAAAGACTGCTATAATTCTAAAAATATTCTCTAATCCTGTTTCAATAAGAAGTATTTAAAATGTATTTGTAATACAATTATTATTGGGGCAAAGAAACTATGCTACTTGTGAAAAGTTACAGTAAAATCCAGAGATACGTCTAGTTCACCTTATTTTTTCTTCAATGTGTAATTAAATATAACATTTTATGAAAACCAGTTCTAAATAGCAATGACTGTAGATCTACAATACATTCCCTATAAGAACATTCATCAGTGCTAATAAGACAAAACCCTTCCATAAAAGTTGCATTTAAAAACGTTTTTTTCTTTTTTTAAAAAAAGGGAAAATGTTTAACATTTATTGCTGTTGTCATTACATTTCCACAGTACAGATTGATCCATGTGCCAACTAAGATGTTGTCCGTCTCCCTGCTGATTTGAATGTACTGCTTAGCAAATAAAAATATTTGTTGCGATGGTAGCGAATGTTCACAAAAAAAGTCAATATACCTGATCAAAACCTGCTATATGAGCTAGTTCCAGTAAACTAACCAATCTGGCAGGAACACAAGATTCCCCACTAGAGGAATCCAATCTATTTTTTTCAGTGGATATGACCAAGCATAGATGCAGCTGAACATTTTTTCAGAACAGCACCCCTGTATGTTATCATTGAAAGTATTTCCGTAAACATAAGCTTATATTTCAGATGTTTACTTTTGTGTGAATGTACATACATCCACAGACGTCTCATCTTTATATACACCCATACATACGTGTACACGCATCCATACATTCCATAACATTTTGCTTCTATTTAAAAAAAAGAAGTAAGGCTTTAAAAACTCAGTTTCAATACATAAATCATACAACACCAAACCCAATGCAATCCAATGAAATGCCACCTGGAATTAATCTTAGGCAAACAGTATATTGTAAGTATGTGTTCACTGTAAGGCGGTTTGCTAGTGAAGCATCATTGCTAAGGCAAAGAAAGTTTGCAGTTATATAAACTAAGCTACAGCTAGGAGAGTTAGGTAGTGGTGCTCCGGGGCCCTTTCCTACTCTGTGTACTTAGCTTCTCATAGGTTGCAGCCCTTTTTTTTTTGTTTTTTAGAAGCCCTTATGCATAAAAATCCCAAATAGAAAAAGCTGCCTCTACAGCACTAAAGACAAAGCAAACTGTCATTAATCAAGAAGTATGTAAGTAAAAGCTGATACACTATCTCAAAAAGTGTAAGGTTAATGGCATAAGATGTACTCTCTGTTGGCAAGCCCACATAAAAATGGTGTGATTAGCTATCATTACTTCCAAGTGAAAATGTTATAGCAAAGAACGCTATATTTGTGCACAGCAGACAGGCAACCATTTCTCTGAGGATAGGTAATGTTTAGTAAAAAAAAAAATCTCTATGTAATCCAAGATGGTGGAGAGAATTTTGACAGAACCATGCAATAAAATGGAAAATAAATCCAGTGGGTAGGATCCAGATTAAATGAAATGAAGATACTACTTACTGAAATTAATGAGATAACTTACAGCACAACCCTACACATTTACTCAGAAGTAAGTCACACCAAACTCACTTACTTTGATGTAAATATATATACAACCACAATCATGATATGGATCTGATCCAAAATTTGCAATTATTTTAACAGTACCAGAGCAAAATGCTGCATGTTATATTTACACAATGCTTTTTTTTCCCAAGAAAAAAATAGGAACAGCTATGCAGAAAACAAATATAGATCAGTATGCCGTATCTGAAATAGTTAATAGCCTAAATAATAATCCATTTGAGTGCCTATTACAATTTGCCATGTAGGAATTTTCAAGCACTGCTCAACAGATCTCCGATGATACACATATAGCCTGAATATCAAACCTATTATTCAAATTTGCATTGAATAAGCTCTTTTGGCCAGAGCCACCTGATGGGTTGTCCAGATGTTATACAACCAAAACTGCATCCAATAACATGGTATGCATACTTGCATATACCCTACAAACTGCACTCTGTTTATATCAATAATTAAAGATGATTCATTTGCCATTTTAATTTTTGCCCATAGTGATATCCAGGTGATAAACAACAGGCTTAGGTTGTCAGCATAAATGTATTTAATTATTACACTCAATAGAAATGTTACCTCTCTAGTAAGAGCTTGGATATCACTTGAACAAGGGCAAATTTTATAGCACCATGTGACTCTGGTTCTGTCCTCAGTAATAGCTGTAAGCATCTTGTAGTTAAAAATGAGTTTGCATGCCTCACACATATTTTTATTCTTTCTCATTTATCACAATATACTGTATTATCCAACCCCTCTGCCATTCATTCCACCGACTCTTTCTCCAGGTCTTCCATGTAGGAAGAAATTCTCAAGAAGAAAATGTGATTCCTTGGAGTGGTGTTGTGAAGGGCAGCAGCAATAGCTTTGTGTTTAGGCTACAGAAGTTTCTCTCTGTAAAGCAGAACACCAAACTATCTTAATACTTTTGTAGCAGAGTAAAATTCAGGAAAAAAAACCCAAAATCTTTTGTGTGTGAATTGCCAAGCATCTTCTTTCAGTGTGCCTTATAAGCTTTCATTTGTTCAGGAAGGATTAACTTTAGCAGTCATTACTTATGGAACTGAAGTCTGAAAGTGAAGAATTTTCCCTTGGAAATTCTTAACAATTCAAAATGTGGATTTGGCTTTGAGTCAGTTAGACATATATACACCAAACCATTCTTTTATCTTTACACCAAAAACTGGAGGAAGGACTGGAATATGGTTTTGTGAAAACCCAAACCTTCAGGAATTACAGAAGGTTGGTATAAGTACAATTTTAGGAGCTTTGTGCCCATGATGAATCCAAACACATTTACATGAATACAATGTACCTAACAGATTTTCTCAGAACTCCTAACATTCAGTGTTCATAATAACATTGCTACATAATTAAAGCCACTACCTGATAAAATTTGTAGGGAAGGGTCAAAAGCAGCAAGAGGTTTTACAAGAGAGATACATGAGGAGGAAGACCTCCAGATCTGTCATGTTCCTGATAACCCACAGTGAGATCTAAAAATAACTAATTCAGCCCAAACTATAAAAACAAAATCTAAATCCAACTCAAATCTATGAAAACTTGCCCGTTACGTTTCTCTGTTTCTGAAACAAGCAATGTATATTAACTTGGTTTGCAATCAACAGATTTTGCAAGAATGAAAAGAGTCTTTTCATAAAGACCACCATGTTATTCCATGGCACCAGAATAGAAATAGAATTCTAGCATAATACTATTTATTTTCACTTGCATATCTGTATACGCATAAACCTATGGCTTATATGTCACATAAGCTTCAGACAGAAAATAAAAAAATGAACATGTGAAGAAACAAAACCTACTGTATGAAGCTTAAATGAGCAATTGTGAAGCTTTAGCTTTGGTGAGATCTTCTGTGATTTTAGATGCCATAAGCATTAAAGCCATTATGGGAAAATGTAAAAATAGGATAGCATTTTTAAGAAATCATCTCTTATTTTTTCTTTTATAAAGAAAGGACTGGTTTTCATTCATAAGTGAATAACTTGGCTGTGTCATTATGTGCTAAATTATAATCGTTGGTTGCTCAACATAAGCTGTAAGAAGTGGAAGGAAAAATGTTGGAGTGTCAAGTGAATATTAGAATCTCAAACAGCATTTTGTATTAGTTTTGTTATAGCAAGACCCAGAGCCTCTACTATCCACATAACTTAAACTATGCCTGCTGTAAATTCAGAGAATTATAATCACAATGTATTAGAGGATACTAAAGTAAGAAAGGCTATTTTAAAATATGTATTGAATGATCATGGTGGTTAAACACACGTTCCAGCAATATAATGGAAAGTCAAGCAGAGCATTGAATAGATGCAGTCTAAAACTCATTTGTCTACTGTGATCCATTTGTCCCTGTTTACATAGCTATATGATCAAGTTTCCTTAGAATGAAATATAAAATGCAAGAATCACTCAATTCACTAGGAAAGTTGAATTCCATTCTCCTTCATAATAAATGTGTTATTGTTTCATAATCTGCAAACTATGATTTGTGCTTACCAACCAAATAACAATTGTAAGAGACAGGCTGATAATGGATTATAATCTTATTTTTCTTACTTTAGAGGATAAATGCAAATACTATTTTTGGCAGTTTAAATTTGCATGCTTTGACAATGAAGGTCTGTTTGTCTGTTGCTAAAAGCACGGCTTGGTGTTATAATTGAATAAAATCTTCTGTTACTTTAGATATCTTGACAATCAAGTCAAAACTGCATCAAGCTTAGAAGAGTGCATTTCTGTCACATTGCTATGTTATCCTGTATTTTAGGAGCACAAAATTTAGCCTCCTGAACATCAAGACTTATTTTACAAAAGCCACACACGTACACACAAACATACTTGTTTCTAGAAATAAACTAGATGTATTTTGAAAAAACAGAACCTGAAGCTGTGGCTGACCAGGATTTCCAGTGTTTAGAAGAAAGAACCCCAGTTCTGCTTGATTATTTGTTCCATCTTTTGAAGATGTATGCTAAAATGATTAGTGAATTTGGGGATACTATATGTAATATGCTTTAATATGTCAAAGAACTGAAAGCTGAGAATGAAAAGAGCAAAATCAGCGTGGACATAAAATGAAAGGGTGAGAAAATCTATAAATAACAGGCAATGAGTGATGACATCTTTCTGCCTGTATTTTTCACTAAGTTTAATTTCTTTTATAGTAAGTTAAGGAAACAAGGAAGTGGGTTTCTTTTGGATGGATTTTCTTTTTCTCTTAGTTATATACATCCTTATCTTCCATGGTAGCAATGGCAGAAAGTGACATATTCTAAACAGATGCAAACCACTCAACAGTGCCATGTGTGCTCACTATTGTGCTACTGTCATTCACTGAAGCTAGAAATAACAAATTACTGTATAGTCTATATTGCTTTTATCTTTTCACTTGATGAAAATATCTAAATACTGAGTAATGAATGAAAAACAAGATTTATCTTTAATTTTTTTCTACTGATGAATGCAATAGGCTATATACCAAGGACGACAAATGGTACAAAATGCAGTTAAGAACTTCATGCCAGATAATAGCAGATAAGAGCCATGATCCCTTTTCAGATGCCAACTACTAAATCATATCAAGAGTGCAAAAATGTTCTCAATATTTGACTTCTCCAGACAAAGCCTCTGTCCTCTTCTTGCCAGTAAAGTAATAACAACAATGAACTAGAGGTCATGCATCAAACTGTGCATCCAAATCATTAAATCTGGTCCAGGGGGAAATGAGTAAGAGTGCATTGCAAAGGATACCTGTGTATGTTTGATTTGGATAAGAAGGCCTCTTAAGCAGCACAGATCTCTTTTACTAGTATGGATAAAAATCCATTGTGCTTTCTTTTCATAATGTTATTGGTATTTCTCTCTCTCTCTCTCTCTCTCTCTCTCTCTCTCTCTCTCTCTCTCTCTCTCTCTCTCTCTCTCTCTGTGTGTGTGTGTGTGTGTGTTTGGTAGACCATAACAAACTACTGTGATTCTGAGAATTATGACTTTACATATATTATGAGAAATTTGATTTGTGAGATTTTGTAAGATCTATGAATAGGTGATCTAAAAAACAACATAAAATGAATTCAAATCGTAACGCTAATCTCCACTTTTTGCTCCTTTGATAAGGACAGCTGAGGTGCAATTTATATCAGCCAACAGCAAAAAAAAAAAGAAAAAGAAAAAGAAAAGAAAAGAAAAGAAAAAGCTTATTTATATTACCAAATGCCATTCCCATCAGGAGATGGACCTGCTGACTCTCTGGGCGGCAAATTAGCCTACTTTGAAAAAAAAAAATGACCAGGAGTTTTTGGTCTTTCCTTTCAAGTTTTGATATATCCACAGAGCTTTCTTTTTCTTTTAAATATGTGGATGTTACATTGGACATTTTCTCTATGAAGAGCTACAGTAGTTCTAATAATTCCCCCCAAAAAGCTAAACAAATTTTGGCAAAGCTTTTTGTTCTGGTTCACTTGCCAAGGAGAGGGAAAATGCGGATTTTCTTCCTCTGGTCTGCATTAACATGTGTAAGTTTGCCACTGCTAAATGCCTTGGTGCAGGCAGAGCCTCCCCTTTAGTGCTCTCAGTTGTTTTCTATTTGCTCAATATCTAATTCACCACCCAACTGAAAGATGTTATCCCCACCAGTCCCACTCTCCCTCCATGAGGAGTTCTCAACTTCTTTCCTACTATTCTCATCTTCTGTAGCACAGAAATCTGAGTCTTCATAGGAGAAATCTTCTTCCTGGTTAGGATGATGTTCTTCTGAATTTGAATGAGGCTCTGGCACAGGGGTGCAGGCCGGTGTCCTGCCAGGCATGATGTCCATGTTGGTGACCCATGAGTTATTGCTGCTGGTGCCAAGGGAGAACTGGTTCTGCTGAGGGCAGTCATCAACTGTCGTGCTAAGACTGTTAAAGGTTTGACAATTCTGAAAAAAGATAAAAGAAAATGGACAGCTGAATGTGCTGCAATCAATACATGAACATGACTCTTTCCCTCTCAGAATTCGATTATTTCTTCTATTACATTGTTACCTTATCCTTTTAGGATGATTTCCAAAGCTTAAATAAGATTTTAATTCATTGCCATAAGAAATATATACAGAACTTTTAGGATTTATGTACAATTGTTTGGTGTTTATTTAATTTTTTATGTTTTGGGTTTTTTTTTAGCTCTGTATTCAGCTCTGGGAAGGGGGGGGATTAGTGGGAGGGGGGGAGAGAGGTGGGGAGGGATTTTATTGTAAAATTTTTATAAAAATTTTAATAAAAAAAAAGAAATATATACAGAACATGAGTGCTGCCAAGAAACCAGCCCTATCCCAGTTAGAGATATTAATTACATTTTACTGAGATTTTAGCAGACCTGATTGAAATTGATTGTGTAAACTCCCCAAGTAGTTCAGGCTTTATGCTGGAAGGAAGAATTTTACTTCCCTAATTCTGAATATCAGTAAAAACATTTTATTATTGCATGATTCTTAAACGGCAAACTTTCGGTCATGGGACAGATCAACATTGCCCATCTCCCAAACACAGGAACTAGATCTGAACTTCAGAGGAGGAAGAACATGATCAAGTTGCTTGTTCTGCCTTCCTGTCAGCTCCAGAAATGTTCAAGAACTTAAACGGTGGCCAGGTAGGGTCTAAATACATTAGATCCAAAAGACCAGATATATTCTCTTCTGTTTGCAAAGAGGTAGGTGATTATTTTTTAAAACAGGGATTAAAATAAAAGCCATAGGTCAGTACTGCTTTCTTACTTTCCTTTGCTTTTCCTTTTGCCAGATAGATAATTTAGCTCAATTTATAGGAAAGGCCTAGAACCGTTCATTAGAAACCATCCAAGGTTATAGATTAAATTCATGCATTGAGAAGATACAGGGTCACAGATTTCTACTTCTGAGTCGCTGTCATTCAGGTTTTTTAATTTACAAATCAGAAAGACCACATTTGAAAGCTTCCTTCCCCATCCTTGAAATCCACAAACCAAGTTTGCCCATACTGAAAGGTTTCCTAGAGTTTGGGGGAAGGGATGGTTCTGTTGGGAAGGAGGCACTATGACTTTGTTGCAGATGTAAGCTTATTAGCAGAGGAAGCATTTGTTAATCATGAGGTCCCAGCCTCTGACATGGTTCTTTGATTTCCAGTTACCTGGTAACTACCAAAAAGCATTCAGTTTGCAAACAGTGCTGCAAATGAAGTGGTTTAGCTCTCACAATGGCATTTTTCACTCTCTCTGCTTCGAAGCAATTATGTCAACACCTGTTCTCTTGTGTCCCAGGATTAAAGGTGTATACTGTACTATCTTGCACTGAAAAGGGTTTTTTTTTTCAGTTTTTAAATTGCAGAACAAGTGTTCTGTTGATTAGTCCATTATTGGAGAAGCACCAAACTAATTAGTTGGTTAGTCTGAACCATTGTATAACTGCTGTGACTAGATGAGAGGAAGAGCACAATTCTGCTGGAGCTTTTGAAATCACACAGCACTGCCTTCAACTGCAATCGACAGGCTGCCAATTTTATCCAGAGAAGCCTGAGGTGATGTTCCAAAGTTCATAGAGACAAAAGATAATATCCCACTGAATTCTGCACCCGTTTGCAAAATTTAAGTGACAAGCAGAGATGATTTGCCCATTCCTGGGGTGCTAAGCTCAAGGCCAGTTCCCAGACACAAGTTCGAACAGCTTGTGGTTTTATTGTAATTATCAAATATTATTGTAATTGTCAAATATTAGGAGAGGGCAGGGCAGAGGTTTTGGGTAGGCACTGAGTAAATTTGAAGCTATGGGAACGGAACTTCTGCCAAAAAAAAAAAAAAAACATCAGCAAAGAGGAGAGATACCAAGTCAGGTAGCAAACAGTAGTTCCCATTGTAACCTATTGTTTCAAGGTCATGCAACCTCTGAAAAAAAGTGCTCTGGGAACAACCTGTGCAGCCACTACCCACCTCAATCTCCCTTTTAAAAGCCGTCTTGCTAACTAATTTTCCTGCACTAATGTGAACTACCATCTAGCTCTTCTTCCTTCATCTATTGTTCTGCACTATAAAAAGATGGTTGGAAATCTAGCATCAACATGCAGCAAACTGGATTCCTGGTTGCACAGAGTGGGAGTCCGGCTTCCCTTTTAATGAATTTATTGCTGCAATAACATACTGCCTTTAAATAAAGACATTCACATAGCCATATGTGTCTCGGCTTGTGAGAAGGGAATGAAAATGAGGACTAGACTGATCAGAAACCAATTGATGCATACTTGACTAGACCTGGGTACTTGATCAGCAAGGATTCCTGCTTCCAAACTGATTAACAATTGCAGCCTACGTGTTCTCCACTATATCATCAAAATGGTGTTTCAGAGACAGATCAGGAGTGAAACATTGTGAGATCCGAGTAAAAAATAAATAAATCTGAGCTTTAAAATCTTTAGTTCAGTGTGCATGTCTTTTCTACTTTTTAGATGTTCAAGAATTTTATCCCCGAAATCTGAAAAAAGTTCCTTTTTTTGAAAAACGGAATCAACAATACAGTAATGTTACAAGGGATAAGAAAAAGATGAAGAGATGCCACAGGCAAGAGAAGGCGAGAGACATTGTATATTGATTTAAGACATGATAACATGCAGTCTTTGATGTGTCATACTATATGCTTCTTCAATATAAAAAGAAGCAGAAAATAGAGCTTGCTTTCTTATGCAGAAAGAACAACCCAAATAGGGAAATTTATCTATGCTGAAGCTATTCAACTCTGCAGCATCTGGATAAGGCAGGTGCTTTTTTTCTCTGCAACTTTAATGTTCCTCCTTCCCCACATGTGCTTATGTTATACTGACATGGGAAATAGCGAAGGTTCCATTATTACTGATCCTCTCTGGATTTAACAAAAATGGAAAATGGGTTATTGGATAGCAAGAACAAAGTCTCCCAAAAGGAAGTTATGGTTACACTTTGATCCTCCTACTATATAAAAGCAGGATTATCCTGCGATTATTAAGCCTTATTTTCCATGAAGTAGAAGCAAATACTTTCTGTTCATTAAGTGATCCCAGATATTGGAACTTAAAGGTATAAAGGACTATTACAGTGAGTAATACTTGACTAGATGAGCCAATGACATGAAATTATGCCTAGCAGTCTCATAAGGGCAAAACGGACGATTCACACTTGGATGTGATATATAAAATTTGACTTGGTGTAGTATAATATGTGAATCACTGAGGCAAACAAAAAAGACTGTAGAGGTAGTCCTCAACTTACAACAATTCGCTTACTGACTGTTCAAAGTTACAATGGTACCAGTGGTGGGGTTCAAATATGTGAACAACCGGTTCTCTGTGTGGATACCGCTTCCGGAAGTCCATTTTGGGCCTGGGCAACCAAAAATTAGCTAGTGGTTCTGCCGAACTGGTGTGAACTGGCTGAATCCCACCACTGAATCGTACTGAAAAAAGTGAGTTATGACCATTTTTCACACTTATGACCATTGCAACATCCCTGTGGTCATGTGATCAAAATTTGGATGCATGGTGACTGACTCATATTTATGATGGCTGCCATGTCCCAGGGTCATGTGATCCCCTTTTATGACCTTCTGAAAATCAAAGTCAATGGGGAAACCAGATTCACTTAACAACCATGTTACTAACTTAACAACTTGCAGTGATTCACTTAACAACTATGGCAAGAAAGGTCATAAAATGGGGCAAAACTCACTGAACCACTCACTTAGCAACAGGAATTGTGGGGTCAACTGTAGTTGTAAGCTGAGGACTACCTGTAGTTTTCCATACTTTATAATCTGATGTCATGAATTTTCCATATCCATTAGTTGCCACAGGTGGCATTGCCAGGAAAACATAGCAGAATCATTTCATCCAAACACAAGATAAATGTGATGGGAGGACAGGGAAAACTGAGGGACAGATATTCTAGTAGCAGCCTGGTGCCTGCCACCATAGGTTAGCTAATCTTTATATAGACAGATGCAGAGAAAAATACTTCAATGTAAGAGGGGAGAAAAAGTGTTGACACATCATCTATCAAAATGAGTCTCTACACAAAGATCTAGATTCCATGGCTTGTTTGCTTGGCCCAGCATTCCTTAAATTCCAGAGTTGATTTCATTCTCAGCTGACTACTTGTGAATAAGCATTACATGTTGCCCCTGAGAAAAAGGTTTGGTTTATCTGCACACACAGGACTAATATTCTGCAAACATGCCTCGTCATGCCAATACAAGCCTCACCTTGGCACCTCCTGTATGCATTAGTTTGAAAAGGCTGGGAATGTTATTTTTAAAAACCTTGGTTTGGTGGTTTTTTTTCCTGTTTATGTGCAGTAGCTTTGTTTCAGCATGTATTTTTTTTTTAGCATTCTGAAACCAGGATTTTTGACTGAAGGGCTACTTCACTAGGAGGCTTAAAATGTTGGGTCTACAGCCAAACTTTCAATTGAATGGCCAGACTAAAATCAAATATGCTCAAGAAATTCAACACCAAAATAAATGTTCCTTTTCTGATTACAAGGAAGTATATCTTCCCATGCATACCTTTGTACAACATTCAAGGAAAAAAAAATGCAATGTTATTTGGATTGTTTTACTCAACTTTTTAAACAGATAAAAATCATCACATTGAACCAGACCAAATGATCACGTATGTACTTGGGAGAACTTACTGCCGCAATAATTGATTTCTAAATAATCACTAATAAACATGGATAGTAAGCAAGGAAAATCACAGTGAGAGCTTCAACTCATGAAATGAGATGTAACAGAGGCCATCTTTTCCCCAACTCCCAGGCTGCCTGATGCTAGCTGAGGATTTTAGAATTTGGTCTAATAAATCAAGGAAGGCACTAGGTTAGAGAAAGCTGATACAGGGAACCTAGGATTTTAATACATATCTATAACAGAACTGCTTGTATTTT